CAGTAATTTGATTTGCATGGGCTCTTGCAGTCCAGACTACATGGAACTGTTCTGATGAAGATAGGAACCGTGGTTTGATACTGCTTTAATGAAGGCAAGTACAGTAGGCACCCAGCTGACATTTTTTCCATGTGTCCTGGCTTTATCAGTAAGCTGTACTTAAAATCAGTATGGTTTTTTTGAGCACATCCACATCCTTCTCCCCCCCCACCCCCTTTTTTTTTTTCTTTCCTGTTTTCAGTATTGCAGGCATCCTATTTGTGTTTGGTCTTGATTTCCATTCCTTCAATAATGCAGATCATTTTTCAATGATTCTATTCCCAGTTCTCTCAAGGTCTAAATAAAGGCTTTAGATAACTTCCCCAGCTACAGAGAAGTGGCAAGGAGAGGGGCTGACTGAAGGTCCCCCCTTTCAACTGTACACAACGTGATCTGTAGCTTAAACTGTCATTATTATTATTACGGATTAGACAAGACCGTCATGGTTATCGTGTTGGAAGTCTTGGCATAGCACAGGCTGTAGGACTTCCCAGAATTTGTCTGTTTGTGAGTACTTGCTTTCCTTGGCCACAAATCTGTTAGTTTTGTTCTGTTGATTCTGAAAATGATTAACTTTCTGTAATGAACCAAACTCTGCTATCACAGTGGCTCTGCATGCAGTCTCTGAATGTATTTGCTGATGTCTGTGTCTCAGAGCCGAGCACAACTAACGATGGGGAGGAATGTCACCACCGTCCTTTGACCATTTCTAAGAGTGCTGTGCTATCTTCAGAGTCGCCCTTGGCAGGGATGGTCATGCAGAGTTTTACACAGTTCATACAAACAATAGTGCTCCTTTTAACAGGGTAGGAGCCTTCTCATACCAGACCTCAGAACTACATTACCGTAAGAAAGGTGAATCTGTTGCTTTCTGACCTTGACGTTGAGTAGAAAGCAAACAGGCAACTAGTGCAAGGGGCATTTTTGTCTTTGGAGTTCGGCTAAGCTGTACTTTGAGTCTCACCAAAAAGATGGCAAAGTGTTTTGGCTAACAAACAGATACGCTGTTTAGAAAACACCAGCCATTTCACTGTTTGCAATTTTCAGTGCTATTTGACTGTGTAGTCTTGTAATTAGATGGTGTAAAGTACTTAACATGTTACACAAATATGTCAAAACGCATTAACAGCACAAGTGTTCTTTACTGCTTTCCTAAATACATTTCACAATATGTCGTACTAGAATTCACCTCTTGTCATTATTGATAAAACTGCAAAGAAGTTAAGATCACCAGGATGGAAATGATTAGCATGAGACTGTCTTTCTGTACTAAGAATACATATTATCATAATAATGTACGGAGTGAAGCATATAAATCCTTTCTCAACTAAAACGAGAAGACAGCCTGGAATAAAACCCAACAAATTATGTTTTTCCATATTCACTCAGATCAGCTTTCTGCTGCTACTTCTTAACTCCCATTCAGATCAACTGCTTCTTCGCAGACTTTTGGGTTACCTCCAAACTTTGCATTTGAATGCCTTTTAACCATTATGTCGCTTTTGAATGGCACTCAGCTGTGCCTTCCGAATTGTAGGGAGGCCGGATGCCCACCTGCTCCTGGGAAGGGTCTTTTTCCATAAAACAAACAGCTTTGCAACCCTTTACCCTGCCTACGCAACAATTAATTGAGTAATTTCCTTATAAAAGAGAAGATGGGATTTGTGGTTTCCTTAAAGACCATAATCTGTGCCAAACTTCCTGGTAACCCCTATTGAGTCCCCTCAGACACGTCCTTGTGCGTATGACCAGACCCAGGGAAGTTGTGTCGATCCTTGTGATCCAGGCAGGTCTGGGGAGCAAATGTCTGGAGGAGATGCTTCTGGTGCCGACCTGCAAGTGAGGCCAACGGGGATGCTCTCCTGCCCGCTTGCCTCTCCCGGGGAGGCTTACGTGCTGTTTGCAAACTGAAATGATGCTGTTGCTGCATCCTACACATGCTTTCCGGCTCTGTGCAAGCTCGGGTATTACTTCCATACACAGTGTAAGCTTTGCAGTTTCAAAGATCTAATCTAATAATAGATTGGTCTACATTTGCTGCGTTGCCAGAAAAAGACATATGTTGTCAGGCAGTCGAAGTCAGCAACAGTGCTGAAGTGGAAATGTGCTGAAACATGAAGAAGGCAGAAATCCAGAAGAATCTATCCGAGGCTGGGCTATTAGGGAACTAAAAATATTTTCTTCTTTACATATATATGCTTTCCACACGTAGTTAGAAAAATGCTGCTTGCCTGATGTCTCAAAGCGATTAAAGGGCATTTCCTTTCCTTTCTTGGCTGTGGTGTGAGATTACAAGATGCTGGTGGCATTCAGCTTTTCTAGGACTGGTGTAAGAGGGAAGAGAAATGGCTGGAATAGCTTGAATGGAAGAGGTGCATGTAGTGTGGCACACAAAGAAATATGATATTGGGCTCCTTCTGTTACTGATGCCTCAAGACAATTTGAGTTTCACTCAGTGGAAGTAGATGCGATGGTAATAAATTTTCCTGGGCTATATATTTATCACACAATGTTTGCAATTCCAATTTTTCATTTTTAGCTTTTCCCTAAGAAAAAATGCACGGTTGGCTTGAACAAAGCAAATACATACCCCAAGAACTACTGGTCTTTTGTGGGCTGGTGAAAAAACTGCTTTTAAAGTCAAATAGCTCTGTGCTGCTGACCTTTTGCAGAAACGCTGTGAGGTGGGGATTGGGCTTGGAGCTGGGATATGAAGATGTGAGGTTTTGACATGCTTTCTGAGCCAGCAATTATGGGATTTCATCTGCACGTATCCTTTAAATATCATCACTTTTAAATGTGTGCTAAGAAAATGGCATCTGTCAACGTTCATGCTTTTTCTGCTGGGTCAGTGTGCACACACACGTTCATTACCATTGTGGAACAAAATTTCTCTGTAAATCTCATCGCAGATCAGAGAAAGCTGGTGTTGTTTTTGTTGCTTTGTTTTTGTTTTTTTTTTTTTAATATTAATGTTTCCTCCTTTAAGACCACTAGGTTCTCCCTTGTCAGCATGCATGTGGGTAGGCAGCCTGTTAGTTGCAAATAATTTTATTTCAGTGACTTCTCCAGGGAATTCATCTGCTAAATAATAAATATTGATACCTCCTGGGAGCCACCTGGAGCAGCATACCAGAAGTCCCTTTTACCCGCCATAGATCACCCATCACAGGTAGCATCCTTGTGCAGTTAAGAAGTGAGAATAAAAAATTGGGGCTGCTACTGTTTTCTGCTTCTCTTGGCACTATTCCTGGAGAGAGTTGAGTTAGTAAATGTGGCTGTCACGGTAGCTATTACCAATGACACAAAATAATTAAGTTGTGGTTTCTGTTGTGGTGGGGCCACTGCTGTATTTTATAGTGATACATCTGTGCTAGGAGGGAGCATGTCATGCTTCATTGTCGTGACGGATGCTTCTAGGAAAGCAGGACGAGTCTGTAGAGGCAGGTTGTCCGGTGTTTTCCATTTACATGAAGCCCTGTAGGTTGCGTGGCAGATCCCTAATAGAGCTGCGTGTTGTTTCTTTGGTTTTCCTGCTGAGGTGATGGGGAGGGCAGCAGCCATCTCGTTTTCCTGCCTGTTGTTTTTGGAGGGGATAGCTGCAGTCTTTGTTCTTTTCAGCCAGTCAAAAGACAGCCTACGCCAGTTCTTAGTCTGATCCTCTAATCAAGTGGATGCCTTTATTTTCTGATGTGGGGCCATGGTTGTGGGGCACCTGGCTTCCACGAGACCTGAAGACTTTGGGACACAGGTGCTGAGAAGCCCCGGTGGTGTGTGCTTGGTGAGTCCTGCCGAGCTGTACGGTGTACGGGAATTGCACTGTAAATGCACTGTGAAATTTGGGGACCTTAAGAAAAACCCGTATTTTGCCAACATTTAAATATTTTCTATAGCTGGCCTCAAGTGAATCTGATAGCATTACAAAGTGCGGTTGCAAAATCCTGCTCTTTGCCATCTCTCCAGTGACTTGGGCTGCAGATGTGGTCTGGGCGCTCTGGTGTGCTGCTGGGGACCAAGGGTAGAGGAACAGAGGTGGAGAAGGTCTTTTTTCAAGTAGGCGTTGCTGTACTTATATCGGTATGTGCCACACGTTTCCATGTGGGAAAAAAATTCCTTCAACTCTCTCTGGCGTTAAACCTTAAGGCTGAGGCTTTTCTTGTTTGTGTGTCTACAGCCTGAGAACCTCACATCACTTCTATTTCGTGTCTCGTGTTAGGGGTGACATTGGGCTCGGTGTTGAAGGAGATGGAGAAGCCGTGCCTCACGCGGCCTGTGGTGTGAGGAGATGGGCCTGGGGCAGAGCGGAGGCAGCAGAGGATGGGGAGGAGGGAAGCAGGCCCTTGGGCTCGGATGCACGGCTTGCTGCCCCCTGTCTCTTCACCTGCAGCTCCCCCAGGGAGGGAGGCTTCCTGCAGGGATCAGCAGCGGGATTTGGGATGCTGTCTGCTCCTGGGAAGAGGCTCTGAAGCAGTAGGAAGAGGTGCAGGGGCTTTGGTTGAGAGATCAGCCTTCAAACGTTGATGTGGCAAGAGACTTCAGGGGCTAAACAGGAAGAGGGGTTCACGTGTGAACCATGGGGAGGCCTTTGGAGTAGGTCGGAGGGGACAGTGTGTGAGCAAAGCCTTTTGCTCTGTGTTGGGGCAACACAGCAGCTCCTGGGCTGAGACGGAAAGCCTTAAGGGATGCAGTAATTAAGAAAAGTAGCTAATAACTAAGTCATAAAAATAATAAGTGTTTTACCAGCTCCATGGTGTATAGGCAGGCAGCAGGGAATGTGGGTCACACAGCCTGAGTGGCTGAGCCAGAAGTAAAGTCTGTGTCTGTTAGTGCCCTGGGCTGCTCCGTGCGCACCAGCCTGTGGCTCTTTTCTCCAGCAGGGCTTGGGGTGGGAAAGGGCCTCTGCTTTAGCTGGAAGGCCTCAGCTCAAAGGCTAATCCCGTTCTGCTGTTTGCCTTTGCCAGGTGCAAGTTCTTCAGCCTCACGGAAACCCCAGAGGACTACACCATCATTGTGGATGAAGAGGGCTTCCTAGGTAGGTGTCAGCGTGCGCCGCTCTGGCACCCGACCCGCGGGGAGGAGGAGGAGGTGTCAGTCCTTGGCGAGATCATAAGGCAGGGTGTTTGTAAAACAGCTCTGTTTGTCACTGCTCGTGGTGCAGCTACGGAAGGTGCTTTGATCACTTAAGCACGCTGTCTGTGCTGCTGTGCTGTACAAGGCGTCTCACATGCAGAATATGAATGTGTTTTAATGCCAGGAGGAGAAGACACACAAGTCTTAAAGAGCAGCTTAAGCATATTTGAAAAAGCAAAACCATCTGCATATTATTATGTTAAAACGAGCTGGCCTTTGTTCCCAAGCCTCTACGAGCACACCACATCTTGCACCTCCAGCTTGTTCCTCCGATCTCCCCTTTTGTAAGGAGAACTTGAGGATGAGCACTTGGTATCAGCCCCACACCCGTCACAGCGCTGCAGAGTTGCAAATCAGCTCCTTTGACTTGTCACCAAAAGCTGTGATTTATCCCTGTTTTCACACCCATCTCAGTCCAGACTGTGTGCCACCAATGCCCACGGTGGCTGAAGGTCTCTCTCTGCCAGCATCCAAGGTGGAGCCGGGCGGTTACGCGCCAAAGAAGGCTCTTGGGAGCTGCAGATGCTTGGTGTTGGGCGAGTGTGGATGGAGAGAATAGTTTGGCTTTGCGGATGGAAATAGTTTGTAATAACATTTATCATGTGGGGAGGTTTTGTTTGTAGCAGTGTTATTGAGGTAGTGGAATGAGGAAGTGTTGTGCAGCTATTATTATTTTTGTTCAATTGCTGCTTTCTGTGGTTGGAATTCAAAGACTACACATTTTACCGGTTTGGAGAAAATTCATTAAAATATGAAAAAGAAGAATTTCATTCCTGAATAGGAATTAACTGCCAAGTAGCTACTTGAGACACTGTAATATTCAATGGTTCTGTGATACCATGATCCTAAAGAGAAAATTAGGAACTATACCATCTTTATTTAGTACAGATCCAAAATTTTATAATCAATACCATTGCTGAATTATTCCCCCTTCTGTTTCAGGAGTACTCATAAACATAGAATAAATTATTACATTTTGGAATACTATAGTGGTGGCTTAAACATTTTCCTAAAATAATCGCTGTGTTGACAATAGGTGGATGGATCTTGACAGCTATTGCTGTTTGGGAGTTGTGGTGTTTGCTTGGAAGCAGAAGTCATGTGTTCTGGTTTTGTTCCCAAAAGATGTGAAGACTTATGATCCTGCTGCCAGAATGTCCCTTGTTGCATTTGTTCAGGTGGCATATGCATGAACGTTTTATTGCTACTGTTGACAGTATTGGCTTTTCTATTATGGGTGTTAGCTGGGTGAGATGAATTCAAATTTGGTCTCCCTATTATAGTAGGATGCAAAACCTACTTCTAAGAGCTTAATTATAACAGAGAAGTCACCAGAGGAGGAGATTATTTTTTTTTCCCAAGGACTGCAGCATGTGGCAGAGCAAGAAATCCAGAGATTCCCCTCCTTGGGAGGGAGTCTGCATCACTGAAGCTGTGCTGTCCATGTGGATTTGCTCACCTCCAGTGTCAGATTAATGCTGTGATATCCATGGGGCTCACTTCCCTGCCCAGCTGGCACAAGGTAGATCCCTCAGTTCAGTTGCTGGTGGCAAATCTGTATTGCCACCACCCTTGCACAGCCTCTAGCGTTACCAGGCCATGCTGCTGTTTGTCCCTCTGGAAATGATTCCGGCTTGAAACAAAGGTAAGCTCAAACAGAGGTTTTGCTCATCAGCAGTGGGGGTTTTGTTGCACTGTGTGCCACTTAGAGCAAATCCTGGGTCCAGCCAGTCCTGTGTCCTCGAGGAACTGCATGTCCTGCTGCTGCCCCAGGTTTGCTCTGTGAACCAGGCAGTGCTGCTGCACTCCAAAGCAGCAATCCTCTCTGCTTGCACCCTTTTGACTTTGTTACCTTGGTTCTCATGTGCGTGAGAATTTATTGCTGGTAGTTACAGTACCCACGTAGCTTCTGTTGGCTTATGGTTCTGACAGCACGTAGCATCCCTTTTATCAAACACACAGCGTGCAGTTGGGGTGTTAAAGCGGAGATTTGCAGGAGTAATGGTCATCTTCCAGGCAATGCAGGGGAAGGAGGGAAGGAAGGGGCACACTAAGGTGATCCTCTGCTTCAGCAGGGCATTGAAGTCAGGTGCAAAACCCAGCATGAGTAGTAGTGTCACAGAACCGGCAGCTTCATCACCTTATCTTTGCTGGTAACTGAAAGACTTCTGCTGGCAAGACTTTTGTTAGGAGAGTTTGAATAATGCAGAGGACACAACCCTGTTCCCTTAGGGACCGTGTCCAGCCAAACCTCTTCTTTCTGAATTGTCACCACCCCATGCAAAGCTTCTTTCTCAGGGTTAGCACTGCTGGCATATCCCCACTGTTGTTCCATCCCTGTTTCTCATTTCCACGTGCTGCAAAGTTTTCCATGGTCTGGAGGAATTCAGGATCTAAGTGTGAAAGAGCTTTCCTTCGCTCCCTGCTTCCCCTCACCCTCTGGCTATAAGCCTCTGAGCAGGAGGAATCTCCCCTGGCCTTCACATACAAAGTGCAATCAGCCCATAGACTCGGAGAGGATCCAAACCTGTACGAGCTGCAGCATCCCACCTCCTTGCAGAGCAGTACCAAGCATCCCTGCCACAGGTGGATCAGCTGCCTCTTGGCCTCACTGGAGAAGTGCTGGGTTCAGCTCCAGAATTGCAGGGCAAGTTCACCTTTGGTGAGCAGTGTCAGTTGCAAGTCCATCAGCAAGAAGATTTTTATTTTTCTTCCTCTCCAGGTAATTTTTCTTCTTGCAAAGCTTAACAAACTTGATTTAAGTTTCTGAAGGGTAGGCATTTCTGTGACGAAAATTGGGACTTTTCTCTCTCAGGAGCTGATACAAATTTTTGCCGTGGCAGCAGTGAGAGGATTGCCCTGGCACCTCGAGTCAGCCAGGCCCCTTGTTCTGCATGGCACAAACAGTACTGCAGGGAGAAGAATAGGCTGGAGAAATCCTGGCACTTTCAGCAATCCTTGAGGTTAACACTTCAAGCATACTGACATGCAGTAATCATTCTTAACTGTTTTGTCAAAAAATAATCCTCAGGCTTGTTTCCCTGAGAGAAGCAAGTGAGCTGGGCTGGGAAAGAAGTCATTACTTCTCCCCAGAAAATGTCTGCAGTGCAAAGCCATAACCTGCTTAAGCATTCATCATGCTGGAAGGGAACGGCCACAGCCTAATTCTTTGCTTTAATTCCCTGGCACTGAGGTGAGGATTAGATCTGCACAGAACCTCGTTTGTTCCAGGCACCGTTTCTTGGGCTTTGGCCTGTTAATGGGGAAGAATTTTATTCAGCGAAATGACACGGGGACCGTGCACAGAAGGCTCTTTTCCTGGCTGATGCTGAGATGAATTAGCAGAAGGAGCTTGGCCGTGGGCCCTCCTGTGTGAGGACAAGTGGCTCGGCTGCTGGGCTGCGTGGACAGCCATGTAAAATCCTTGCGTTTATCACCTGCCGCGCAGCCAGCACGTGGCAGAAAAGTCAAGTGGCTGCTGCTTCCTGACGTACAGGAATATTTGTATTTCATTTGCTTTTTTTCGCCAGGTTTGGCCGAAAGCAGGAGCTACCTGTGTGCAGATATTGTCACAGCCCCTGTGCTCCCTGCGCAGTCTGTCCCCCTTCCAGCCTCCCTCCATCATCACGGGTTTCAGTTGTCTCACACAGTGAAAGCAAAGCACACCTGGAGATAGCTGTGCTCTCTGAAACCCTCAGTACGTGCACTGGGAAACAGGTGCTGGCATTGTGGTGCTACCCTGGAGGTGCCACCCGGATAAAATGATGGGTTTGGATGGGTGATGGTGTGGCAGCGTTCCTCCAGTGGCATTCCCAGCAGCTGTCACATCCAGCATCTGTACCTTGTATCCAGAGGACCTTGTACTGGGGGGAAAAGGGCATTATGGGTGTGTGGTTTCTCTCTTTTCTGATCCCAGTGTCTTCAGCTGGTTTGTTTGCAGATTTGTTCTTCCTTTTTTTTTTTTTCTTCCCCTGGAAGTCATTTCTAGGTTTAGAGATAGTTCTGCTTGGGTAGCTCAGCGAAGAGCCGTTCATCTAGCCCCCCGTTTTACATTGTTTGTCTAATTGTACAGCACAGTGTGAAAGGAAGGATTAATGCTCTCCCTCGGCCGCCTGCGTTCTCTATAAGCCATAGGAAGGAAGAGCCCACCCGGTGTCACCTGTATAAGTTGGTCCAGTTGCATGGATGTGACAGATGTCTATGGTTTACCTACAGATTATTTATTTTTTCTGTATCTCTTGCATTTGCTTGAAACAAAGCTGTGGGGTTGCAAAGACCTTCCCAGAATGACCACCATTTTTTGCTTCTTTTTAGCCTTAAGCTTTGAGAGAATGAGGTAGAATCTTGCTCTCACTTTCCATGTCAGGTTCATGCTTCATAATGATGTTTACATTAGTTCCCTTATCTTTTGGTGAAGCCAGTTTTTGTGGGTCATTCTTGGTAATTTTTGATGGGTACCCTGGCTCTGTGTTAGGGCAACAAGAGCCCATCTATAACATCTCTGGGGCAAGATAGTCACTGCACCTAGAAGGCAACAAGCTCTCGTTTCTGAGTTTCTGCCCCATTCATGATGGAAAATGAAGTCCCCCTTTTTGACACCTCTTCAAGGGCAGCATGTGGGGTTTGAAGGCGTCTTTCCCCATTGCAGGGAGAGCACTGAGCCTGTTGCTGCCTTGACCCAGCCTCCTCTGTGACCTTGGCAGCTGCTGAGTTGCTCTGTGAACATCTGCATAAAAGGGTTTTGTGACAGTCTGTCACAAGGGAAGCTGTCCTGAGCAGAGTAAAGCAGCCTCTTGCTAGGCACGCACGCTGCCTGCCCAGCCTTGGCATTGGGCTGGAGGCCCTTCCATGCAGTTTTTCTCTGCAGGCAATGAACTTAAAAAGTATCAGAGAAGGGGAAAA